GTAAGTGCCTGATTTCATGGGTCTGCCGCTTTCCCCCTGGGTGCTGAGCTCCCTGCAGGTCATTAGGCACAGCCCTGTTGGGAGTGTGAACACATATAAGAAGGAACAACCGGTGGCTCAGATGAGCTCGGAGCTGGACTGAGGGGAGAAGGCAATGCATAGGAGCAGTGTCCTGAGCTGAGAGTCCTGCAGAAGGGCTGGCTGTGCCGCTGGTTGATTGTGCCATGGGAGTGTGTGAGGGTGTGCACATGTGTATCTGTGATGTAGGAGACTGTGGCCATCTTTTAAATTGAGCTCATGCAGTTGGCTCCTCCTCCCATCCTAAAGGTTGTCTCTTTGAGTCTCTGCCCAGCTGTCAGAATTCAAGGCCTGGTTGGCCACGGCTCACACCAAGGCTGGGTCCCTGAAGTACAGCAGTGTGGAAATGGAAGAAGAAAGGGAGGTTGCTGCTGGGGTCGGCCTGAAGCGGTGGCTCAGACTTCACCAGCAGTCGCCTTTCCTGGTGAAGTCTCCATGACTTGGTCATCTGTTCACCAGCGCTGGCAACACCCAGCATGATGAGACCCTCGGCTGCGGCCTGGGATGGGGGCAATTGTCCAAGAAAGAGGGGCGCTGGACCTTGAAGGACCTGCTGTGTGGTTTGGCAATGCTGGCGTGTTTCAGGGCTGCTGGGAAGCGCCCTCAGGCCCCACATGTTGTGTGATGCTGGCAGTTCTGCCTGTTCTGGCCTGTTCCTCTGGCTGTGTTTGGTCTGTCAAAATGACCACCTCTGGGAACATGTGTGCCCCTGGATCCTTAGTGGTCATCACAGCACAGTGGGGTGGGGGGTTCCAGCTCCCAACCAGAGCAGGGTGGGATTGTGTGTGATGACCAGGTAGGGGTGGGGTGGGGAGGGGACCGGAGGCAGAGAAGGAGCTGAAACAATGGGGAGAAAGCTCTCCTGGCCTCCCTGATCCTGCCCACACCCTGAGCCCTGCTCGCCACCAACCAGCGTCATCAAGAACAACCACTTCCCTGCCAGGGCACAGGCAGGGGCTCCAGCCCAGCCACCTCTGGGTTGGTTATGGTTCTACCACCTGCTATCTGAGCACCCTTGGCCAAGGGACCTGGCCTATCTGGGAGAGTTCCCATCTGCGAGATGGGCATGAAGTGCCTGTGTTGTGAATGTTTTATTTGAATTCATAAAGGAAATATGTGCATGTGCCCTGCCGATGGCTGGCACACAGTCAGCCCTACCCTGGGGAGATGCCAGATAAGAGCATGGCTGTGATCTTACTGGCCCTATGCAAAAGAGACATCTCGAGAGGCTTCCTGGAGGAACTGTCTAGACAGTCATAGATGGCTACGTTGGCCAATGGGCCTGTTGTCTCAGGTATTGTGTGCCCTGGGTTCCCCAGCCAGCAGACACTCTATATTCCAAGTTGGCTTGTTGCTGAGGAGGGAAGGAAAGGGAGTTAATGTATATAAAGCCCCTACCAGGTACCCGGCCCTGGTCTTTTCACACTACCCTGGTGAGGCACCAGAGAGGAGCAGCATTCTGGCTGAGGCCACACAGCTAAGCGGGAAGGATTAGCGAGCCAGCGCCCTCAAGGGGACAGGCAGTGCCAGGTGCAGTGTCCTGCCCCACCCCGCTGCATCTCGGTAGCGTTTGTATCTGTCTCCAGGGGATGGCTCTGTGGCTCAGATCCCCCTCTTCCAGGCCTGGCACTGCAGCCTTCCCTGGCACAGGGGAAAAGCAAGGGTTGCTCCGTACCCTTGAGTTGGACCTGTTGTGGGGGCTGGCCTGTGTCTCCGCTGCCCCTGAGAGAACCTGTTCTGGGGTAGGACAGTGGCCTCTCCCAGTTTCCTGTCTGGTCACACCAAGGGAACAGGCAGTCCTGGACAGCGGTGCTGTGATGGGGCGGGCAGCGCCTGGATGAGGGAGTCCCAGCCCGGGAGTGAGGCCTGCTGGAGGGGCCTCCTGCTTGCCTCTCACTGGCCGCACAGCATGGAGAGTGACTCCCCTGTCTGGACGCAGTGTGCTCGTGGTCAAGTGCAGTGGTTGGTGCCATTTTTCCATACCCACCTGTGGGGCACACAGCCGGTGCTTACTTCATGGGGGCTGCCATGAGGATATAGTCCAGGCGCCCCTGCAGAGACCCCTGGACATCCCTACAGAGCCCAGGGCCTGGGACAGGAAGAGACTGCCCTGGGCTACACCTGGGCTCCTGATTCCCTTGGTGATGCACGTGGTGGGAAGGGGGAGGTGGAGTCTACCTTCCCCGAACCATGGCAACTGCACTGTGGAGACAAAAGTCCCAGTTCCTCCATGTGTGACCCAGGCCCCCCCTGCCACCTTCAGGCCCAGCTGCCTCCATGGCAGCCCCAGACAGTGGTGTGCATGTGGCCATGACAACACCTCACTCCAGGCCTCTCAGGGGAGGCTCACCTGGCCAGTGGGATCTGGGTCACCTTGGCCAGACTGGGCCTGCAGTGTGGCCTCACCAGGTAGCTTGAAATCCCCACGTGATCACTGGCTTTCGCAGAGGGACTCAGCTGTGGTTGGCACACCCCACAGGGCAACCCTGGTGCCAGGGAGGCTGGCATTCCTGGGACCTAAGAAAGCCACCTAGGGCCACCGGCATCTGATCACAGGCTACTGTGACCTCAAACCTTGGCTGGCATCCTGCAGGCTCTGGGAACCTGCTCTGCCTGGAGTGTCTGGGGAGGACCGAGGAGTCAGGACAGGAGGCACCTCAGCTATTCTCCCAGCCTGTAGACACCCTACATTGTGCTGAGCCGCACTCAGCCTTCCAGAACTTGTATCCTTCAGCCCAGGTCCGCCCCCAGGAGCCATACAGAGGTGACGTCCCAGAGCCTTCTCTTCACAACCCGCACATCCCGTGGCAGGAGTGAGTGTCATCCTGCTGCAGTCACAGGCCGGAGCCCACAGGACCTGCCCTGAACCAGGGATGCGTCAGCCTGGCCCTACTTCTCCTCTCCCGGGCACACGTAGCAGCCCCTTCCTAGGCTAAAGCTATCTGTTAAGCCCCCCACATTTCATTCCGTTCCCATGCACAGGCACCCGCCTCTACAGGCAGGCTGTGAGTGAGAACACCTTGAGGTTGTGACTTGTGACTTATTCCACAGTCTCCCTCCCATGGTGCTCAGTGGCTGGCACACAGACATGTGGCTGTCACTGATTCTGAAGGTGCCTCTGAGCACCTGCATGGCACCAGTTCCTTGCCAGGTGCTGAGCATGCAGAAGTGCCTCGGACATGCCCTGCAGAGCCCGGGAACCTGGGAGATGCACCTGTCAGCCTAAGCCTGGAACAGTGCTCCCTAGGGGAGCAGAGAGAAGGGATCTTGAGCCAAGAAAAGGGGCTTCAGGAAGGGTGCCACCTGCTGGGTTGACAGGGATGAGGAGTTTGCCGCCACAGTATAGGGTGCAGGAAGGCATTGGAGGCCGAGGATTGGCGTAGGCAAAAAGACAGAAGCAGGTTCATGGGATCTACATGAGCAGAGCAGTCACGTCTGCTGAAGCTAGACAACCAGGCCGCGGAAGACTCCCTCCAGGCCCGGTGCAGCGGCCTCCCAGGGGGAAGTTTGTGAAACCCAGATGTGAGGACATCTGGATGTCACCTGTTTGGGTCCTGGTTTGTACTGTACTGTAAGCCCAGTTTTCATGCACTATTGAGCATGATCGGTAATTATCTCTGGTCTGCTCAGCCAACAGACAAATCATTTCCTCCCTGAAATAACCGATCCCAGCAGTGCCCTTTCACACGTCCAGCGACAATCCAGTGTGAAAACTGTGAGGACCTCCCGGGCACTGCTGGGTTAGCCCTCAAAGTGTGGTTCTAACCCTGTAACAGTAGTTCTCCTTTCATGACTGCCTGCCGTGTCGCTGGCACAGTTCTGGGGACTTTCATCCTCACGACAACCCTATGAAAAAGACCCTACTGTGATCCGAGTTCCGCAGATGAGGAAACTGAGGCTCGGAGAGGTTACAGTGTGATTCAGCTGGGATTCTAACCCAGGCTTGTCTGATTCTAACACACTCTCTTTTCTTTGCACAATATCAAATTATGGACTGAAGAAATCAAAATGAAATCTTGGTAAATGTGGTTGCTGGTGACTTAGCTGTGGTTTCGCAGCTGTTTCACCGTAAAGTCTGATTCATCTTTAATGAGTGAGTTTTGGAGTAGATTACCTCAAAATACACCTACAGCTGCGTAGAGGCCCCAGGTCAGCAGACCTGACATAAGGGCCCGAGGTCACATTGAGTGGATTCCATGACTCTTGGTGGGCCATGCCAGCCCAAGCCAGGAGCACCAAGCCACATGCACACCTGACTGTTGGGGCATCTGAGAAGGGTGGCTTTGTTAGCGCTAGGAGGAATTCCATGGCGAGGAGATATTCCAAGATTTTAGTTGGGGCTCACCAATTTCAAAACTCGCCTTGAATCCTCACCCTGCGGCCGAGTTGGTCACACCAGCAACCAACCATCCAACTGAAGTCAGAAATTCTCCACTTGCAGGGCATCTCCTGATCCCCCTGTCTTTTTCACATATCCTGTTAGCAGTATGAGCTCTTTGCGTTTTACCTGTGGTATTCGTATTTTCATATTCTTTTTCATACGTGTTTCTAGCATGCAGGCCTGTGCCCAGCCCCGAGGAGGCACTGGGGAAGCCACAGTGCAACTGAGACGTGTGGGCGGCCAGGTGTGCCCGTGCTCCAGCAAGTCCAGTCGCGGGTGCGAGGTCCATTCTCCAGCGTGGGACTGGCGGGGGGGCGCACGCACCAGCATGGAGCTTTCAGTCTGCATTCGCGGGCTGATGCTTGAGAGTTCGGACTCTAATTCACAGATGACCAGGGGATGTCGGTGTAGCAAATAATAAGTGCAGGTTGTTCCGGAAAGTCTTTCCAGGAGAGACAAGGACTGTCCATGTCGGTTTTGGGGTCCTGGTGGGGTTCCCTCTGTGTCCTCCTTCTTAGACGGCTGTCCATTGTCTCTGCAGGCCCCCCGCCCTGAGCGGCAGCCCTGTCATCTCTGACATCTCCTTGATCCGGCTTTCCCCACACCCGGCTGGCCCTGGGGAGTCCCCCTTCAACGCCCCCCACCCGTACGTGAACCCCCACATGGAGCACTACCTCCGTTCTGTGCACAGCAGCCCTACGCTTTCCATGATCTCTGCGGCCAGGGGCCTCAGCCCCGCTGACGGTGAGTAGGGTCTGGGGATGGGGAGGGGCGGCTAGGGCATTAGGACAGGGCACAGCCAGCCTCTCTCGCACTAACACTGTCAACTCCCCAACCTTGGTCTCCTTGAACAGTGACCAGGCTCGCGTTCCTTCACACTACTTCCAAACAACAGGTTTTTGGGTTTTATGCTCATTAAAGAGCACTTGGTAAGCACTCTTTTGCATGCAAACCATATATGATTTACCGTAATGATAACAGTAAGGGTCTATCCAGGTAGGTCCGGTGTAGCTGAGAACCGCTGGTTGTAACCAACCAAAGTCTGCAGGAGCTGGTGTTAGGAAAGGGGATGTTGTGTTGGGCTGTCTCATGCAGATGGAAGGCAGAGTGAGCTGGCTGCTGCCTGCGTCTCTGTTAGATCTACCCCTTGCGGGTTAACACAGGAGGCCTCCAAGTGGCAGCCCAGGCCCTGGGGCTCCGGGGATGAAGCTGTGGCATTGTGTCTTTCAGCTCAGATGCTTGACAGAGAAAATTGATTGGCCCGGCTCAGAGATCAGATGGCCACCCCTGGTGTGACTAATTTCAGCCAGAAAAGGGCAGGGTCACATGGTACAAATATGTCTTTATATGTATAAAGCAGATCTAACATGTTATACTTCTAGTCCCCACCCACCCCACCGACAGACGCATGCAGACACATATTAGTAACCCAGCCATTTGGGGGCCAGTCCCACCCATGCCATCTCCCTGGGAAGTGCAACCCCACCCATAGTGTGGCATGGCCCTGTGCCACCCCTGACAGTGCCGCTCGCCACTCATTGTCCCCATCCTTGAAAGCAACCCAGTGCGTCTTCTCAGAATACACGGCGCTGAGACTTGACCTCTCAGGCTAGAGGACATCTGCAACTTGAACTTGAGAGCCCCATGGGCAGAGGCTCTGGGAAATGTGGTCCCAGTGAGTCTCTTATCACTACCAGCATTGTCCCCCAGGGGAATGCGTCCTCTTCCAACTGGTGGGTGTGACCGTGAGTTGAAGCAGAGGCCTGGCTCTGAGAGTGTGCAGGCTGGAATCTCGCGATGAAAAGGCGGCTTCCAGTTTTCAAATGTGCAGAAAGCCTCCGTGAAGCGTTGACTCATCTTCCTGGCATGGAGGTTTCCCCTTTGCCTGGTCCTCACCGAAGAGAAACCAAACAAGGCAAATGGTTGTAGCCAGGGGGCTTGAAAATGGCTAGCCGGATTGTGGCACCATTCTGAAACGGCCCCTCAAAGTCAGAAGTCAGCCCTGAACTCTGCGTGTGTCCCCTGTGTGGCCGTGACCAAGCTGGGGTGCCCTGAGGCCTGTGCTGCCTCTACGCCCGGCTGCTGTCTTGTGGACAGTGGGCCCAGCCCCATCCACATCACCCCTGAGGTCCCAGTACTGGGATTACAGGCGTGAGCCACCGTGCCCGGTCCGTGACGGGCTGACCAAGAGCGAGAGGACACAGCTCAGGCTCCAGATTCTGCCTGGCTCACACTAACACTGTCAACTCCCCAGCCTTGGTTCCCTCAGACAATGACCAGGCTGGCGTCCCTTCATACTACTCCTGAACAACAGGTTGATGCTCACACCTAGTATGGCAGCTGAGGGGTGCCACCCAAAACACAGGTCCACAGCCTAACCCCCAAACCTGTGGGTATTCCCTCATTTGGAAAAGCGGTCTTTGCACATGTCATTAAGTTAGGTCTCTTAAGCTGAAGAGGTCATCCCAGATGATCCACACAGGCCCTAAATCCACTAACTGGTGTCCTTACAAGAGACAGACAGAGAAGGCAGACACATTCACGCCCATCCAGGGACACACACAGAGTCCCAGAGGAGAAGGCCATATGAAGGCAGAGGCACAGATGGGAGTCATATGGCCACAAGCAGGAAGCTGGCAACCAACAGAAACTGGAAGAGGCCAGCAACCATCTTCCCCTTAAGCCTCTGGAGGGAGCGCGACCCTGCCAGCACCTCAATTTCAGATTTCTGGCCTCCAGAACTGTGAGAGAATAAAGTTCTGCTGTTTTAACAACAGTTAACGCCAAGTTTATGCTGATCTATTACAGCATTTACCCCGGGAAACTAATACACATGGTAACAGGGCTTCCAGGGAAGAGGCAGATGGAACCTGGCTGCTCTCCCAGGGCCAGAGTCATGAGAGATGTCTGTGGGAGAAAGGAACAAAGCACCTCCTGGAGATGCTCAGGAACCAGGGACACTGTATTCCACTGACTGCAGTGTCGCCCATGAAGAGCTAGGTGGGCTGGGCACAGTGGCTCATGCCTGTAATCTCCGGATTTGGGGAGGCCAGGTGGGAGGATCACTTGAGCCCAGGAGTTCAAGGCTGCAGTGAGCTAAGAGCGCACCACTGCACTTCAGCTTGGGCAACAGAGTGAGATCCTGTCTCTAAAAAAAAAATTTAAAAAGAAGCTGGGGGTGGTGAGACAGAGCTGCCCCTGGAGGAGAGGCCCTCGACCGATGGAGCACCATGCTATCTATGCGTGAGTTCAAGATAGACACTGAGGTAGCTCCTGGAACACCCACGTACCCACCCACAGCCCCGCGACATAGCAGGGACCTGGCTAATTTACATGGCCCTGGCTCCCACAGGAAGTAGACCAGATACTCCGAGGCCTCATCAGCCCTTGGGCTACTAAGTGACCAAGGATGGCAGATTAGGCTCAAGAGCAGCTGGCAGGAGGTCTGAATTCGAGTCCTGTGTGCCCTGCTTGGTACCAGCCCCAGAGCCTGTCGCTTGAGGTTTGGAAGCTCATCGGCGATCCGAGGCAGTGTTGGCCAGACCATGTGTGACTGGGGTCGAATGGGATCTCCAGGGAAGGTTTTGAGGGAAGGTGGGTAGGCAGGAAGGAGCAGGGGAGGGAACTTTGGGCATGAACAATGAAGGCAGAGGCTGTGGGCGATCAGCCTGGCAGGAGGCCTGAACTCTTGGGAGATGCAATAGGAGATGGCGAGAAGGAGGCAGAGGAGGATGGCGGCTTCCATGGCCCGGTCTCCTCTCTCTGCAAAACACCTAAGAGAGCTCTTTTGGAATTTGTCGAGACTGCTGACAGAAAGGCTGCAGTGCACAGTGGTTAGAAGTTTGCTTCCTGGATTCAGACTGCCCTCTTTGCACACCTGTGGACTCTCAGTGGGGGTGCTAGGTTTCCAAGCTCCCATTCGTTTCCTGACACCATCCTGCTGAGGGCCAGCCTCCCTTGGATGCTCTGAATTTCATCCTCACTGCCTCTTTCCTAAGCCCTGGGCAGGGCTGACCTCAGGGTTGAAGCAGACAGCCCCGAGGCTCTGTGCTGCAGGGATAAGGATGTGTGCAGGCCAGGAGCCTTATCTGGCCAGGCCTGGTGCCCAGGCAGGGATCTCACCCTGAATGTTCAGGCACAGACTGACCTGGCCCAGCCGCGTGCCGCCGAGGTGCCTCTGTTTGCACCTTCTTTTAACTTTGAAGACTCTGCTGGACTATGGATCCTGTTGACCTGGGGCTCTGGGATTCTGAGGGGCATGGAAGCAGAGTAGGGGAAGATTGTTTATGAATCTGATGAAATGGGGGAGTACAGAGGTCGGAGTTGGGCCTCCTTCAGCAGCAACACCGCAGCTCATGCCGGCCAGGCCCAGGCCCAGCACAGCGCAGACAGTGGGGCAACGGGGTTAAAGTGCCAAGGAGAGAACCCCCCACACCAGGTGTGCATTTCTCTTTGCTTTTTTTTTTTTTTTGGCAGGAAAAGCGCAGCCAGTGCCAGGTTCTGACAGCTTCTTTCTCTCCCCTCTGCCCACAGTGGCCCAGGAGCACCTTAAGGAGAGGGGACTGTTTGGCCTTCCTGCTCCAGGCACCACCCCCTCAGACTATTACCACCAGATGACCCTCGTGGCAGGCCACCCCGCACCCTATGGGGACCTGCTGATGCAGAGCGGGGGTGCTGCCAGCGCACCCCATCTCCACGACTACCTCAACCCAGTGGACGGTGAGTGACGGCCCCGAGGGGCTGAGGATGGGGCTAGCGTGTCCCCTCTTGAGGCTGAGAAGGTCACTCGCTGTTTCTTTTGGGGACAAGGGCCCTTAAGGAGAGGTCGGGCTGTACCCCGATGCCTTGCAGAATGGCTGTCCACAGACACTGAATCTTTGGACAACACTTACTGGGTCACCACAGGCCAGGAAGCATCGTAAGCATCACAGACACCACAGCAAACGAAGCTGGAACTTACAGTGTGATGGGGAGAAACAGATGCTAAGCAGCTCTAGGAATTACATATGAAAGTAGCCAATTACAAATGGACCGGGGAAACAAAGCAGGGGCAGGGGAGTGAGCACTGGGTGAGTGGGGTGCAGTTTGGAATGGGGAAGTCAGAGGAAGCCTCACTGGGAGGTTGACATCTGGGGGCGGGTGCTCCAGGCAGAGGAAACTGCAGTGCAAAGGGCCTGAGGCAGCAGTGGGCCTGCCGAGCTCAAGAAACAGCCAGGAGGCCAGTGCCAGCCGTGAGGAGTGGGACTGGGGCTGAGGCCAGAGTTTCCAGGTGGGGTCTTGCCAACCAGTGCACCTCAGAAAAGACTGGCTTTCACTGGAGATGAGGCTGGGCAGAGGAGAAAAGAGAGCTGACGGACTCACACAAGGAATCGCCTTCCGTGCTCGTGTGAGAATTGATTTGGGGGCAAGATGGAGGCAGGAGGTCCAGTTAGCAGAGGTGGGGAGAAGGGGCCAGGTCTCAGGAAGACCGTGAAGGTAGAACCACAGGATGTGCTCCCAGCTAGAATATAGAGTTGAGAGAAAGAAGGGAGTTGAAGTTGACCACAGGGTCTCGGGCCTGAGCATTTGAAGGATGGAGTAGTAACTGAGCTGGGAGGCTATATGGGGCCCTCATAGAAGGGAGGGAAGTCAGGTATCCTGGGTAGATGATGCTTTTGGTGCCTGTTAGACAGGAAGTCCTTCCCACCCACCAAATGCCATCCTCACAGCTGCTTTCACAGGGACACCTGTGACCCTCTGACCATGAGCCCTGGGGTCAGCATGGAGCCTGTCTCAAGGAATAGTGGAGGGGGTGGAAGGCTTAGCGCCCCCTCCCATCCCCTAGTCAGTGGCACTCCACCTGCAGGCCCTGGAGCCCTGGCCCGCGGCACACAGGGACACAGGGCAGCCAGTAGAGCCGGAAGCCACCGCCGGGGACAGGCAGACGCCTCCTGCAGAGTCAGCCTCCTCGAGCCCTGCCTGGGGTGGTGGTTTCATTCCCTGATAGCCCACAGCAGGGAGACCGTCCTGCAGGGGCAGCCCTGGTGTCTGCAGGGCCGTTCAGCCTGTAGCAGGTTGGGGATTGGCTGGTGGGAAGTCACGTGGGACCAGGCAGGGCCTTGAGATTCAGGGTGGGCTACCACCTTTGCTCACCCCGACCCTCCCCCAGGGCTCTGTTCCAGGAGAGCCCTTCACTTCCCTAAGGCCTGGCTGAAATCTCGCCTCCTCCAGGAAGTCTCTCTGGAAGCCTCCTCCTTCGCTTTCCCCTGCCCTCTTCAGTCACTGGGACAGCTCCCTCCTGTGGCTCCTACTTCATTCTTTGCCTGGCCCACCTCATACTTACAGCAGCCACCTCATATGGCTCCTCAGCTATCTTGAGCATCTTCTGCTTCCCAGGAAGAGTTCTGCTGAGAAGAGGGTGGCTGACCTCTGACGCTGGCCCCCTGGATGTGGTCCTCGCCAGGCCCTGATGGGAGGCCATAACATGCCTCAGTGATGCCACCAGAATTTGGTCCCTGTGTCTGTCCCATTCTTCCTTGCCTTTCCCAGTATGGTGTTTAGTCCAGGATTAAGCACACCATCCAGATGTTCAATAACACCTCTCAGCTCTGCAGGACATCGACGTCCCTCTGAGTACACACACGTCCGTGTGCTCTGTTCCCCTCTCCTCTCAGCAGCCCTACATGGTGCTCCCACGAGCCACAGTGAGGTGTCAGAGGTGCTGAGAGTAAGTTGTGTGCTAGACATGCTCCTTGCCAATATTAGAAACCAAACAGCAGCAACCGAGTGCATGATCATGTGCAAATTGTCACACCCAAATGTCAGCTTCTTCCAAGCAGGACCCTTCTTCCAAGGGCCTGAGGGTGGCATCAGGGCAATAGGAAAGTGGACGAGGCAGAGAAACCATGGCCAAGAGAGGTAAGATGAGGCAGGTGTCTCCACAGGGCAGGAAAGGCTAAACCAGGCAGCCAGGAGTCATCCAGTGATTTGCAGCATGAGCGTCTGCTGTGTGTGTAAGAGTGTGTGTGTAAGTGTGTGTGTGTATGTATGTGTGTAAGAGTGTGTGTGTAAGTGTGTGTGTATGTGTAAGTGTGTGTGTATGTGCGTGTGTGTGTGAGTGTGTGTGTATGTGTAAGAGTGTGTGTGAGTGTGTGTGTGTAAGTGTGTATGTGTAAGTGTGTGTATGTGTGTAAGTGTGTGTAGTGTAAGTGTGTGTGTAAGGGTGTGTGAGAGTGTGTGTGTGTGTGTGTATGTGCACGCATGAGAGACAGTGAATTGGAATGCAAACTGCCTCTGTTCTGTGCATTTACACACATTCTTCCATGTAACTCCCTTAGCCACCTTCTGAGGCTAGAAATACGCTTCTTACTCTAAGATGAGCCAATGGGCTCCCCAGCATCTAGGCTTGCCCCAAGCCTTGCTCTGTTTGTTACCAGCACCGTCTCCCCTTCCCTGGGCTGCAGTTTCCAGCAGCACATGCACCTGACCAGCCGTGAGCCCTGGCCCCAGGGAGGGCCAGCCAGGCCAGGTGAACTTGGGCTCAGCCCAGAGAAGCTGGGCCAGAACCAGAAGGGAGAAGTAGTACAGCGAGTGCCAGGGCAGCCCCGGGTCAGGCCTGGCTGCACGGTGTCCTCCCTGTGGTAGCTGGGCTCAGAGGTGGTGACAGGACGGAAGGGCTGTGGAGTGGCGATCCCAAGCCCTGCGAGCTGTGTGGATTAAACACATGGACTGAGATGGCACGTGTGAGCCTGGCCCAGTGCCTGGCATACAGCAGGTGCTGGAATAATGCTGGTGCAGGTCTCGTTCCACCAGTATATCTTTCCCTCTTTCAATCCACTCCCCCTTGCAGGATTCTGTGTCTTCATTGTAGGCGGCTCTGTCCATCTGCTGCCTAAACCCAGGTCCCAGGTCCTCCCAGACCTTTTCCTTACCATCTCCCATCCATGCCATCCTGTCTCCCAGGCCTCCAAGTGTGGCTTGTCACCCTTCCCGGGCCAGCCAGTGACATGTCGCCCTCATAGCACTGCTCCATGGCTGCTGCTCAACCAGCATTCCCATCTTTATCGTCTCCGCCATCCTGTGATCAGTCCGTGCCACTTCTAGCCCCCGCAGGATAAAATTCAGACTTTAGAACCCCCATCTAGAGGCCTTCCTCTCCAGCTCCTCTCTCCCCCCCTGCACTGTGGTCTTGCCATGCACTGCCCCACCTGCAGGTCCCCAGATACCTCCCTGAGCTCGTCCCTGCACAGTGTCCTATGCGTGGGGCCCTAGGCCTTCTCCTGAGAACCCACAAGAATCCAGCTCCAGGCCTCTCAAGCCACCAACTAGCTCCACTGTGCTGGTGGGACTCAAGGTGCCCCCAAGTGGAACTGGCTGGGACATCTCCTTACATATGGCCAGATGGCCGGCCGCGCCAGGTCTGGGAGCACATCTGGCAAGGAGCAGGTCCTCTGTGGTGTTGGGTGAGTAAGTGAATGAGTGAATGGCACTTAGAAAAGACCCTGGAATGGAAAGAGACGCTCCAGCTAAGGAAGGAAGCACTCGAGGAACGTAGCTGTTGGCTCACAGCGGGCTGGAAGGGGCTGGGGAGTGGTGTTGCCTTCCGGTCACTCAGCATTTGGCGGCCCCTGGGGCTGAGCATCTCTGGGAAGCAGCAGAGGAGCGCAGAGGTGAGCTCAGCAGTGGGCACAAGAGCTCCCAGCCCTCCAGCGGCATCTGGTTAACTCATCACACCCCACCCACCGTGCCTTCTCCGCCTCCGCCTTGGGAACACATCTGGCTTCAGGACGCGGGGGTAGCTGGGAAGCATCACCAGATTCCAGAGCCGGCCTGAGCAGGGATATGGGTTTCTCTGGCTCCAGCATGGGCTGGGCGTGGGGACATTTTTCCTATCCATGGATTTCAGGAGCAGATGACTTCTTTCCCTTTGTTCCCAGTCAGTTACAATCCAAGAAAATCAGAGTAGTGCAGGATTATCCCTGTTTTTATTGCTACTTAATACATTTTTTTCCAAAACCAGTTTTAACTAGAACCAGAACCTTCACTTCAACTTTTAAAAATGCTTTCCGCACTTCCACTCAGCTCCGACGCCTGCGTGGACGGTTTCTCACGTATGTCTCTAGGAGACGCGGAACACACCACCAGCACTCTTGGCCAGGCGGCTGAGGCTGGACCTGTCTCTGGGGTGTCCCCCGGCCCCTCCCCTCCCGTGAACCGTGGGAGCCAGGGAGGTGTTTTCGGTGGATGCCTGTTCCATGGGTCTGTGCCGGTCCCTCCCGGAAAGCTCCAGACCACCCAACAGAGAATGTGATTGAGTGTTGCCACCAGGTTTCTTTTTGCCCAAATTCTCACTGAGAAAATTGTGTAGGCCATCCTTGGCGCCAGCAGTGCAGCTCAGGAGACCTGTGGAAGGGGCCTGGCTCTCTCTGAGGAATATATGCTCCCACCAGGAAGCCCCCATACACATCGTCTTGAGCACGTGAGCTCTGTGCAGGCGCAGGGGGCCTGGAGAGCTCATGGACAGCCAAGGAACACAGGCCTTCTCTCTCTGCCTTTCTCTGTCTCTGTGTCTCATGCACACACAGTGGATGATTCGGCAGGTGTTTATTGGGCACCTTCTATGTAGCAGGCGGGTTCTAGGTCTAGGGATGCAACGCATCATGAGCAGCACACAAGCCCTGCCTGCCTGGTGCCTGAGCTCCAGTGCAGCCCCGTGTGCGCTCCCGGGCGGGACCAGGAAT